AGCTTCGATAGTCCTTGAAACTATTTGTATGTGACCGCGCAGCTGAATCCCTTACTAAATCCAGTTTGTTCTACAGGTTGGGCTGCAGCCAGTGTACTTGATATGCGACTGATTGTGAGAATAATCTTCGTGAAGAGCTTGTTAATCACGTTCAGCAAGTAGTGGACAGTAGTTCAGATCCTCCCTATCGCCCTATTTGTAATGCAGAACTGTTTGAGAGATTCACAACTTGTCCGGGATCCTTTCTTTTGAAAGTAAGAAGGTGCGCCGTATTCATCTCGTGTAAGCGATATCCTCCAGCTCTTAAGAAGTCGGCCGAAACGTGGTCCGCCTCTGAAGTCGCAGCTGCCTCCATTTGGATTGTGGCCTGCCAGCAGTAGAAGGTGGTGATATCTCTCCAGTGAAGATAGCGGAACTGGGGTTTCGCCAATGGAAGCTCGAAACGGTTAATGAGCGGAAGGATTGCTGTAAAAACTCTTCGTGCTTGATTCCATCTCCTGTCAGGAATGTGTGAGTTCCGTCTTCGGCTATAATGTTGTCAGCGGATATGGTCATCAACGTTCCAGCAAAACTTCTACACTTTTCGTTCCTTGTGCTGTTCCCAAAAGTTTCGATTGCCTGTATTTTCGAAGATTGTCTTAAAAGTTACTCTGCAACTGGTATGGTTATGTCGCTCGAGATAATATGAAGTCGGATGCAGCATCGTGTTTCTCCCTAAAGGTTCCTGGTGGGATTTTCGTTCTAAGTTTCTTGTTCGAGGCATTAAGGCACTTTCACCGCAGGCGCTCAGTCCTCTACAGTCAGTAGTTAGGAGCTCCGTCAATCTGCCGTCATGTACGGCTTCTCTCCTTCCTCCAACACGGTGGCAGATCTTTTTTTCCAGCTTTCGGCTGAATCGCATTTTATGCTCGAAGGAGGCGATAATCCGATGCATTGCTGAAGGATGGTACCACTGAGATGGTAAGGACCACTTTGGTAAAAATGTGTGCGATTCCGTATGAATCGTGTCGTACTATTGGGTGACTCCCATGTCCACCATCGTGTCTTTCTTCATGAAGAAGTAGTTGCCTGAAAAAGTCGTGCGGTGGATAAGAGCCCAACAAGACGGTTACCATTTTCATTCCGGAGTCGCGATCCGATCTCACGACCCTATTCCTCCCTCTCTTGGAATCCCATCTTCGCATTGAAGTCAGTCACGACGAATTTGTAAGAGGAAATCTCTTTGCGAATGACATTCCTCAGTTTATCCTAACAATCTCCAGTTCCGAGTCATCAGCAGCTGAAGTTGCAGAATAGCAGTTGATGGTAGTGATGGTTTTATAAAGAGGACGGGTCAAGGATAGCCAGGCGAGGTGATAGGATCTCGTGCGGATTGACGCAGAAAACAGATGGTCAAATCCAAGGTCTTC